AGCGGGTTTATGCTGTGACGGGCCAAAGAAAATGTTTGGAATGCAGTTTTTGCGGTGTTGATTACCATTCCATTGTTGTCGCACCAGTTTGCTAGTAGTTTAAGTGCACAATTTAGGGCACTTTCTGTCCTCTCCTGAACGTTTTTCTTAGGGGCGGAATACCATAGTACCAGATCATCTGCGTAAAGTAAGCACTTGATGCCCGTGACTGTCTGTACCAATTCGACTATGTCATTGATGAAGACATTGAAAAGAGTGCAGCTTGTGACAGCTCCCCGTGGAAGGTCTGTTTGTAAAAGATTTGATTTTGATAGAGCATTTCCGTATCTGACTTTACACGCTCTTTGTCCAATGAATGCTTTTATCCAATTTAGCATGTTATGCTTAATACCAATCTTTGCCAATTTTAGAATCAGCTTCTCCTTCCATACTAAGTCATATGCTGATTTGAAATCGACGAAAACAGCCGTAAGAGTATTTCTTGCATCAAGGGCATTTTTGATGTGTTGGGAGAAAATGGCTACTTGTTGGTTCGTTGATCTTTGTGGCCTAAAACCTGCTTGTTCACTCCTAAGAATATTGTTGGTCTCAAGGAACCAAGTCAGCCTCCTGTTAATCATTCTTTCCATAAGTTTAGCCAGCACACTTGTGAGGGAGATAGGTCTCTAGTTGTCAAAGTTGCTAGGGTCTTTGCCCTTTTTTAGTACTGGTATAACTATGGCAACTTTCCATTTCCTTGACTTTTGGTCCCATTCTTAATTGTTTCCTTGACTTTTGGTCCCATTCTTATTAGAAATTTCGAATGAATACCGTCTTCGCCAGGAGACTTTTTGCACTTGAGCTGTTTCATCGCAGCATTAATTTCGCAAGGTCTGAATGATTCAGTAAGGACATTACTTGGTATTGTTATGTCTTCCTTAATTTCACCAAACTTGTATTTTTATACCTATTGATGATTTTATGACAAAAGTGTTTTTCTTCTGCCTGTGGGAATAGAAACTCGCAAAGCAGTTAGCAATTTCGGAGTCGGTGTTAAGTAGTTTGTTGTTAAAGCGTATTGGTTCTTTCTTGGGTCTCTCCCTGTTGTTTTGGAGGTAACCCAGGAATTTGAAAGTGCGTTGGCTATCACTTTGATAGTTGGTAGTTGAGACGAATTCGTTAAAGGAAGTCCGTTTTGCTTGTAAGATGGCTTGCCATCTCCAGGCCGTTCTTCCAGTCTGATCAGCAGTTTTGCGAAGGGCGTCTTGCCATCTCCAGGCCTGTACATCTTCCGTTCTTCCAGTCTGATCAGCAGTGTTGCGAAGGGTGTCCCGCTTTCTTTTCAGTTCTTTAAGGTGTTCAAGGGTGTCCCGCTTTCTTTTCAGTTCTTTAAGGTGTTCAGACCAAAACACTCGATAGTGTTTAGTCTTTCCTCGGGGAATATTTTTCTTTGCACATCGGATCATAATTTTCGTGATATTGTTGCAAAGTTTGTCAGGATGTTGGTAGAAGTTGAGGACTTGTGTGAAGTTTAATGTTGGTAGAAGTTGAGGACTTGTGTGAAGTTTATTCTCTAAAAGGTTTGTGAATCTAGGCCAGTCAGACTTCTTGAAGTTTCATGATAGCTTCATTGGCACTTTCGTTGTCATGCTTTTGCTGTGACATCCCTCCAGTATTCCACTGAAGGATCTGTAGACGTTGTGATTCGCCCTGACGTGGGCGATTTCTCTTTTAGCTTTATTTCAAGCTAATCATAAAAAATGAGGGGTGATAGACTATTATTTCTTAAGAAGATACGTTGTCCAGGGTGCCCCACGTGGTGGTAAGTCTATCGCGCACCCCATGATAGAGAAGTTATTTTAGGCTTTCGCTTACGATTCTGATAAGGGCATTCATCGTTTCAAAGGAATTGTCAAGTTAATGTTAGTAAGTTTTTGTTATTCGGTTAAGTGGTGGGTGAATGGACATTTTGACAAACCAAATAAGCCGTTATGAATAATTTTAGCTTGTTCCTATTTGCGAGCGAAGCATTTTATGTCCGTCCTGAATGCAAAGCGCGAAAATTTGATTCTTTTAAATTTTAAAAGTGGGTACATCACTTTCTTCCGAATTTTATTCAATTTTTTGTCGATGGAAATATCTACTGGACAACCGTCATATCATATTTTTCATTGAATTTTTGCATTTTTATAAGCCTTTATATGTATATATATATATATATATAATTTATTTATATCAAATAGCAGGCATTTTGATCATTATCATTAGCCCTTTAGTTAACTTCAGGCTTCGCAGAGGGGATGTGAAAAAGTCACAAGGGGGGGGGGGTGACAAAATAGTTTTTCAAAGATGTAAAGGAGGTAGAGATAAAGGTAGGAAAATAGTGAGGTGAGTAGTGTAGAATACGTGGAATATGACATACAGTGTGGTGATGGTAGTTTGAAGTCAGAAGTCAACTGCGTATGAGTATACGTTGCCCAGAGGCGCCCCCAATATAGAACTGTCGTAGGTAGATGTTTCTCCTAACCAATTGTTGGCAATTTTACATTTACGCCACGAGCTGGAAATGAATAAGAGGTCGTTAAATTTCAAATCCTTGTCTTTCTACAGTCACAGTGTTAAGGGAGTGATTGGCCTCTTAAACTTGGATAAATGACGTTTTTATTCTACTTAAATTAGTTTCAGTAGGAAATAATTGAGCTTTTCAATGTTTTGCACTGCAAGAGAAATGATGACTTGGACTTTGTGCGTGGATATCACTTTGGAATGTGTTGAAATAGTTCATCCTCGTTGATGTAGAAGCAATTGCTGTATCATATACATAACATAGCGATCTCCAATACTTGATTCTCCGTAAAGTGGTTTATGAGCTTAACCCAGGAGGCAATCTTGACGGTTCCTCAACTTCTGATCCGTACACAATCTCTACTACTTAAACATTTGTTATCACGTAGAGGGTAAAGACGGAAAGGTCTTTGCTCAGAACAAACCATTACTCTCCAAATGACGTAGAAGGTGGATTACTTTTGATTAAGTCTCCAAACACATCTGACAACTCGTAGAAGTGCAGGCTGTTGTGTAATTGCCCATCTTTTGTCTATTCGTACGCGAAAGCATTGGCCATTTCGCTTCACAATCCTTCACACCACTTTCTTCCACGGCCTCATTCTGAGACACAAAGATCACTTCCTTCCAGTTTCTACAGCATTCATCAACTGAAAGACCAGTGAATTGGTGAATCGACCGAGCTTCCAGCAAAGTGTTCATGCTCAGTCCGCATACTTGCAGCTGTAGCTTTGAGGTGGTGTTCAAGGCACTGGTTCCTTCGTCAGTAGATGGTGGGTCTTTATATGAATGCATTTGGTGAGGAATAGGGTTGATAAATAAATAGTAACACTGATTTGGGCTTTCTACATTCCTCAACCACAGCACAACATACTTTCACGGTTTTATGAAGCATCACATCTAGACTCAATTTATGACACTTTGATTTTCTAACATGCTGGTGATTAGAAAAACAATTTCGATATTCTAATTCATATTGTCTGACACGCGTTTTGTGCGAATTGTGTGTCGTTTGTGGAGGATGGAGGAATATTGGGGGGGGGAGGGGGGGGGGGACATACTTGGCGAAATTGTCTGTTTCGGTTAACTTAGTTCAGGAAGAAAAGTTATTTCTAATGACCTACTAAATCAACTGAACTGAACTTATTTAGTGAACAAAGTGGATAGTCACATTTATTGAGAGGCAATTCTTCTCAATGCAGCTATGCATTTGAGTATTCAATTATTGCGGCAAATCGTCATTCAATAAGTTGTCAAAACTATATATTCCCCTTAATTATCTTTATCCTTATTCTGTTAGTATTATAATTATTCCTCCTCAAATTAATTTCTTCCCAATGCAGATGTGTTTCTGTGAACCCAGTGAGATTTCTAATAGACTCAACTAATTCATACTACGGAGTTCGTCTACTGTAGACATGTATTTTCATTTCCCACGAGGCACTTACATACTTTTTTACAATCCTCTTTTGCTAAATTGTACTAACACGGCATAGGCAGTAAACACCTAACCCTTCTTATAGGTAAAAGTAAGTGCAACGATAAACTGCTTCTCGTAAACCACAACAACTCGCTCAGCCAATCAGCAAAGATTCACGCACAGTTGTGCGCTGTCGATTATGCAAGGAACCAATGGTTTTCGTTCAATTCGTTAAACGCTGAGTTGGCACACAGAACGTATAACCTACAATAAAGGAGTAAATATGATAAGATCGAAACTTTAAAAACAGCAAAAAGGCAGCCTATACATTGGGTTACTCAAGTAAAGTCACTATATTTTGAGTTTATTCTTTACTAAGCTAAATGATTTGGTTTGAACAAAAAATTATCATTGAATTCAGTATTGTTAGCCATACATCATTGCACAGAGTGCCAATTTTCGGTAAATGAAATAAGGTCGAACGGAAGGAGAAATTATCTAATTAAGTCAACCTTGAGGCCTACACCTCTCCATCTCTAGATCAGATTAATGCAATACTCCAGACCTCATCAAGTATTAAACAAACACTAAAAATTAGAACAATTACGATGACTCTGTTAAAGCAAAGAAGTAAAGCATTGTTTGACAAATATTTTTATGTAAATTCCTTGAAAACTTATAAAAATTTTTATAAGGTGCCTCAAGTCATACCATTCTACCGACAATACTTCTTATTAAGGTGGAGAATTATTTGCTCAAATGCAGTACAAGTTGAAAAAAGAATATAAATTGAAACGCTAATGACTAATTACAGACACACTCAAACATTAAAGTCGAATAAGATCGAAATGAGCAAACAACAGATCATGGAACAATTCCTCCACATTCCTTACTTATCTTGATGTCCACAAAACTCTGTAAAGGAGTACGATCTTTAAAATTAACGATGGTTTGAGTAAATTTTCTCCTCCATCCACATATATGGAGTGCATAGTCTGGAAATTAACTTGCGTTTCGCTGAGACCCTTCGGCAGATCACATCGTTCAATATCCCACCAGTTAATCTGGAAGCAAGTGGTTGAAATTGATCCTATCAATGCATATACACCACCACCACTATCACCACCAAGATCATTAATTCAAATGCATTCAATGATTCGATAAATCTACTGATACAATGAACTATTTAAATTGAGGCGAATTTAGGAAAAAAGAGTAGAAATGCATAAATTGAGTAGTTATTGAGTGACATGGACATTTGTAATGTGCTCTAAAGCAGTTGATCTGAAGGCTTTGTTGAGATACATGTTCTACCACTTTGTCAGATCATATTGATGTTCCTTCTCATGTAAGCACTTCTGAAAGAATCGAACGTTGGAGAAAGTATTTGTTGAGTCCATGGGAAATTCGGGTGAGCTAATAAACCATCGTCCAATTTGAAAAGAATTTCCTCTCAATAAATGTGATCGTCCGCTTGTTACAAAATGACCGCCAACCTTAAATGCATCTATTTTAAATGTTCGCGCTTGCCCCAGAGAAGTAATTTTGATGAAATCGAATGAATATCGTGTACTGAACTCGAAAAGGAAATCTTTCATTAAATGAGTGCTCATACGCATATTAATGGAACCCCATTTAATCAAAAAGATCTTATCGACAGGCTTATTTAGCCACTCATCAAAGATGACTTCTCAGGGTATTTTGAAAGACCACAGTGTGGCACTATGCCCTTCCAAAAGTAGTCTTTGTGACAATTTTGTTGCTACATT